CGGCAGATATGTGGCAACGTGGTGGCGACAATATAACATCTGATACCCCATATATGTCCCGTTCCGAATCGCTTGTATTCTCAAACTAGGGGATCTTGCTTAATGGAAGCGAGTAGCTATCCAGGCATATTCTACTATTTATACATTCCTTCGGGGAAATATATAGTGCATGTATGGTGAATTTCATAATATTGAACAGGATAAATGGGTATATACAGCGTCTTCGGCCAGTCCAATTCGCATTACAGAGTAACCAATCGACCAATGCTTGACCTTCCACCCCCTCTTAAGAATATTCTAGTGCATTGCCCTAGATGCCTCGCCGTTTATGCATAGATCGTCAAAACTGACTGAACTGTCCCTTCTTTTTTTTTTTGTCCTTTTTTTCCCCATTTTCCTTTCACCACTTACCGTACGTACGCTTCGCAGCGCAAGGTGGAATCCACTCCCAAACAAGACGCGGACCACTGAGGACGGCTTCTAGTCCGGCTTAGATCAGACCGAGGATGTCTTCTCTTTTCCACGGCCCCGTTCTCCCCTGGCATCTCGTTGATTAAGGTCCATCCTTTGCGAATTATTCGTTGCTCATTTTATGCCGATACGTAGACCGGAGGTGGCTAGCCTGGTATCTCTCTTAGTCGATTCGTTTGTACTGATCATCCTTCTGCGTCAAAAAAGGCATCATTACTATCTTCGGTATCGGCCCTCTTCGCCCTCTGGGGAACCTTCGTCTTATCCGAAGGTAAATCCTTTTTTAGGTCTTCGGTAAAGTCAAGCAGAGGGCCATCAACCTTCTGGCCAGTGGATTCCAGCAGATCGCTAATATTGGAGGACTGATGTTTCCCGGTTGTCGTTGGCGAGCCTGTTTTCGCTAGGGCAGAATCGTCGTTCTGTCCAAAGTCGATCAAGTCTCCCCCAATGTCGTTGGAAGGGGCGATGATAGGCTTTGGGGACACATGGTGAGGTGGTATCACACGCTCATGAGCAACCTGGCCTTGAAGTATAGGATAAATACCCATAATCTGTTCGGCCTGTTTTTGGGGCGTATCCCCATCACTACTCCAATTGTTAGCATATGCTAAATAGCAAACTAAAGTCAACTCACATCGTAGCATTAATAATCCACTCTAATTTCTCCATGTCCTCGTCATTACCGTCAACCTCGGGCTTGACCAGCCTGAAAAGCCGCGGATGCCATTCGACACCTGCCGCCGCTCTCTTGGCGGCCTCCTCTCGTTGTCTGTCTTCGACCTTGGTTTTCTCATCGGTAGCAACTTCGTGATTCTTTTCCCTGACTGCTCGTGCTGTCTTTTCCCATAGCCTCTTTGACTCGTGCTCGTGTTGCTCTTCTACGGGTCTAACTTTCGGCCTCGAGGGTTTTACTTTCCGAGCGTCGAAAAACATATGCTTTTTACCATTCTATCGCATAGTTAGTTCACTGAATGCGATCGCGTGCCCGTAGGACACGTATGCAGAAATAAACTTACTCTTAGGTCTTTGATGAACATTTCCTCACTCCAAAGACCCGAAATTTCAAATAATATCTGGTTCGTCTTCTCATCCTTTATGGTGCCTCCGATTGCGTTATACGTACCGCTAACCCACCCCTTTGTCTTGAAGTCGATGTCGGCAGTGAGGCCCAATTCGGGACAACGGACTACACTGTGGTCGCCCAACTCGTACTTCATATTTCCAAATAAGATACCTCGGGCGTACATATTCGGTTGTGTAAGCCAGCTGGAGAGAATGGTAAGCCGAAGTGTCACGACTAAATTGGATCATTTGGGACATACTATCTCTCTCCTCTATATCGGTCCTTCCCTCGGTTCAACAAGCTCAGAACAGCGACACCTTCCATCAAACTGGCAGCTGAGTTACCGAGAAATCTGCTCCTAGGCTTCAGGGTACCGTCAATGCGAATATGATGATCAGGGGCCATATAGAAGTAGCTCGATTTGGGAGGGTGATGTGAGGTCTGTTCCGAAATGTAGTACGCGCGCTTCTGGCCAGGCAGATCCCAGTAGCAAGAGTAGACCTCGCCAAGGATAGGATTAAGGGGTTTCTTCACGCCACTATTACCACATGGTCAGTCGGCACCCCGCGAAGCTGCAATGGCACAGGGGCGCGGAGAGAATGGAAACCTTACGGAGGTCTGATATGCCAGCCACTCAAGTAAAATTTGACAACAGACACGAAGCGGTCGACAGGATCCTCCATATCGGGAATGGAGAGGAGCATCTCCGGATGACACATGAAGCTGTAGCCAGAAAGACCCCACGTTAGCTTTGCTCGATTAAGCCTTGCCGCGCCTCAATCTCAGTTATCCTTACTTGGTGATTCGCTCTAGCATGCTTCGTGGCTCGAGAATGAAGGTGGGGAGCACAACGCGACTTAGGTCGGCGCCCGGCCGGAGCTGGGAGATGATATGTGTGAGGACTGGGCTATGGTCAGCGCTTCGGTGTTTTGAATGTTTTGCGACGGGGATGGCTAGAGAGACGAACCGTTTCCCTGGTCAGGCTCTATAACGTTACTGTCGTCTTCTATATCGCCAGCGCTCCCGTCAGCGGAGGACTTGCTACCTAAACCCACGCAGTCAGCATCAGTGAGGCGTATTGGTTGCGAAAAGCGGTTCGGCGGGTTTGAATCGTACTGGCATTAGAATGTGCCCTATGGCGACGGGCCAGGCCCGTGGCGATTTTGGTACCATGCATGTCGATATTGGTATAGACGTTTCGTGCTAGGATTCGTAGGGGGGTTATGCTGCGGAAGCAAAGGGAATCGATATCTAGGTATAGTCTAAAGATCCTAAGCTCGGGTAGAAAAGGGCCCAGAAGGGCGAGATAGGCGAGATAGGCGACAGAGGTGAGAGCGGCGAGAGCGGCGAGAACGGCGAAGGCGGCGAAGGCGGCGAGAGAAGGAGGCAGAACAGTCACGGGAATGTGAGAGCTTCGCAGGGAGCGAAAATGTAAAAAGAATAGCGAAAGAATAGTGAACCCCTCCCTGCAGGCTACTACTACTACTTTGGCTCCTCTGGCTACTTTGTACCTAATAACATTAGGCAGTCTACCTAAGCTAATACAAGTCGTAGGTTAGGTATACTAGCAGGATGCTAGGAACTAGGAGGGATCTATTAGTACCAGTACCTCTGAGATAGGTTTTACCATGCCGAATCGAAATGGGAGCTTCACCTGAGGCATGCCGCTTTTAACCTGAGCCTGAGCCAGACCCACTTTTGCATAACTTTTAATATACGTCACTCCGCCTTACCGTAAACGCACTGCAATAAAATTAACCGTTTTTATTACACAACGGATTTGAGTATCCATGACGGACTTCCTTTCCGACTTCCTAGGAAGTCGCTCCAGTCACTCCACGAACAAGGCAGCCAAAGTCAAACGTAAGCGTAAAGACGCAGAACGCTCGCGCAAGAAAGCAGAATGTAGACACGACAGCAAAGACAATTATAGAATCTAGAAAGCCATGCCATGTTTAGCGACACCGACAACGGTATACCTCGGCCCACGCTTATTTCCATGGGGAAAATTGCATCTCCTAGGCAGCCGCCTTGGATGCCCCGTACGGGTTGTTAAGTTAGCACCCACCATATCGCGTGCAACTGATATGCGCCAATCTCGATGTTGAACCCAGGAGGTTTTAGGCTTGTAGTGGGTTCGGGACATCAAAAAAACTTGCACACTCTGGCCCAGTCGTCATCGTTAATATGCCAGTTTGCGTAGTGGCCACCGAATTCGGTATTCAGTTCGTTGTTGTGATCACCTATGATACTACCTGTAGGCTTGGGCCTTTTTCATTAAGGTTTGAGCGTTGTTGTTGTTGTTGTTGTTGTTGTCCTTATCATCATCAGAAAGCTCGATTACTTCGATCTCTTGGGTCTTCTGGTGCTTTGGGCGGTGCCCATGGTTCCTCGCGTCTTATCTCTTCTCAGGGTGCGAACCAATGCTGTCCCAGTCGGCGTCGGTAATCGACTCAAGGTTTAATTAAGGGGTCACTAGATGCAAAAGCTCTGCCGTCCTTCTTCCTAGACCCGGACGTGGTAGATTCCTTCTCGTCCTCTTCTAATTCGTCATTTAGGATTACGATGGCCTGCTAGCAGTGTATACGAAAAGCGTTTAACTACCCTTTTAGTTCTTTAATGCTTAAGTTGTTTTGGTTACTCTTTAACTTGCTGCTTAATGTTTCGCCGCTTTTTTTTTATCGTTTGGAAGCTTTAAAGACCGCGCTTTTACTTTTTCGACTTGAGCCAACCCTGGGAGTTTAGCAACTTGGAAGCTTTTATATCAAGTTTAAAATGCTAAGCCGCTATTGCGCAGCCTGTTGGTACATAACTGTAGGCTCTATACCCATTAGTCTTCCTGTATCACATGCTTTATAAGCATATCGGAATCATCCGGCAAATAATATCTTTCTATAATATATTAATAAAAAAAAACAAGCTCTGCTCGTGAATTCGTGCTGGTCCATCGCTGTACTGGTCCCTCTTGTACTGATCACAAGGACGAGCACGTAGTTACTGGTTGGAAACCTGACACCGTACTAGTACGGGCATTCGGTGCGTACAGATCCAAGCCTGCACCAGTCCGAGGTCGTACTGGTGCGGGGTCCACGACCATACTGGTTCGAAGATTATACCGATCCGTGGTCCAAGCCCGTACTGGTCCGAATATCGTTGTCCCAACCTGTACTGGTCTGGAATCGTACCGGTACGGGACGGTATGGGTCCCACAACTGTACTGATTCGAATGTCGTACCAAGTTCGTAGCTTGAACCCGTGCTGGTCCAAGCTTGTACCTTGTAGATGGGTTTTACCACACTGAATCGTACTAGGATCAATACCTGAGCCACGCCGCTTTTAGCCTGAGCCTAGTCTGAGCCAAACCTGAGCAGAGCCCACCTTTACATAATTAACCTCAATTAGCACTATAAGTAGCAAATTGGGTAAAACCCGTTCAACAAGCAGCGTGGTGTTAGCCTCGGCCGCAGGATTGGTAGCTCAGTGGTAGAGCGATGGACTGCAGTTCCATCGGTCATGGGTTCAATTCCCATTCAATCCTTTAAAATTCCATATTTTTGCATTATATCTTAGTATTTAATCAGTACTGTAAGTCGGAAATTTAGCAACGCCTTACAATAAGCAACGTAATTCAGTCATAGTTCCGTTTCACTGCAGGACAGGTAGCTCAGTGGTAGAGCAATGGACTGCAGTTCCATCGGTCATGGGTTCAATTCCCATTCGGTCCTTTATAAAATATACTTACTTTTAACCTTGTCTTTTGATATGTGGTTTTTAAACATTGCTTTTTAATATGTAAAACGGGTATGTACCTAAGTACCTACTAGCAGGTGGTCTGCGCGTCGGTAAATAAACCACCAACCCCACCTACATACTACTGCCCACGACTGTATTCTAGACTTCTAGTCCTTCCTCTCTTCAAGTTGAGATTTCTCCCCAATATAGGTTAATTGGTGGCTGAACCACCTGCCCGTATTGGCCCCGTGACACGGCCACTCTCGCCACGCAACTATCACGCTGCCAAGAGCGCTGCACCTCGAAGGAATCACACAGTGTCGTCGTCTCCAGACCAAGCCAGACCCCGACTACAAACTCTCCCAATGAGAGGCAGTACCTGATCCGCGTGCAGCCCCATCGCAGAGTGGTGGAGGTGGTGCATCGAAACCACTATTATAGGCGCCTCCCCGCACCATTGTCTACCTTTTCCTTCATGAATGCCAACGTAAGTCGCATTCGTTAACAATCAGTCTAGAAATATATCTCTGACAGATTTCAGCCCAGTTTCTCTGACGACGGCGTGCCTGTCGACCAGACTACACGTTCAGTAAACATTGCCGCTGACTTGCTGCCAATCAATATAAGCGGGTATCCCCTCACAACCAAGTCGCCAAGTTAAAGTGACCCTGAGGTAGATAGCAGATACATCGACCACCCGAATATGTACTGGTTAAGAAGAAGCCGTGAACACAGCCTATCGAGCTCGATAGTCCAGATGTCAGATGCCCCATTCCAGTCTTATTATCCGCAACGCTGATTCACGTCTGGGAGATCGAACTCAAGTGTTGATCCAGTGTTCCAGGTGTGGAGCCCGGCGTATGGACACTTCCCCATCTTACTTAAAAGCAACCGGGGAATATATCTACAGGCAAACAGGTTGCAAGGAATGCCCCTTAAGCTTGTATGACAAGCGTAAGAAGAGGAAAACGGCTACTACTACACATGTACCAGTTGACCGTAATATGCCTTACTTGGCGTACGATACAGCATGGTGGCAGATAAGGAAGGGCCGCTGGCAATTTGAGGCTGGATTAAAGGAGCTTTTCAAGTGTGCTTAATAAGTGCCGTTTTGGTTTGCGTATGTCACGGTGCCCTAACAATGGCAACCCCCAACAACGGTTTCGAGAACCGTTTTGCATAAATTATACATAATGTGTAGCTCCTGAGGTCCTCAGCTACCTGACTGACAATTAGGTGAGCTGAGCCTGAGCAAAAGCGGCGAGCACGCTAAGCCTAATTTGTCGAATACTTGGCAAGAGGTAATACTTAGCACCGGTCGAGGTGGGCTATGTTTATCGATTGCGCGGGACCCGATGACCTCACCGGAGAGTCCCGCCTTTTTGCCCGCCCTAATCAGCTGGCACTTGGTATGCAGCTAGTGGGGGAAGGGGGAGGGGGAGAAGAAGAGGTAAGGGAGAGCGAGAATGAAGGACTGATTTCCGGTTCCGTCGACTTGGTAACTAAGTATTAGTTGACGTAACGTACATGAGTTATGGGCTTTTTCTATTTATTTTGTTTATTTTATTTAATTCATTTTTCTTTTGAAGGACGTCTCTTTATAAGATAAAATAAGCTGAACTTTCATTGAATTAGACAGCGGTACCTGGGTAGGTACTGCAAATTCAACAATTGGGCTAACATGATAGGAAAGTACTTCCGTATTGAGTTATAGCACCTTAAGTTCAGGGTCATCTCAGCTATCTCTATTACCTATATCGGCGTCATGGTGTACCTACAGTAGAGCACCTAACTAGACTAGGTACGGGTAGGTAGGTATAGGTAAGGGGAGGGCACCGTATCTATATGCTATATGCAGGGAAATAATTGCCCGTCTACACATGCATATAGTATCGTAGTATTTTAATCAAAGGTATTGGGTACCTAACTACGTTTCGTTTACCAATTGCACCTTACTTGAATAGTGGAGTCGTCGGGGGGGTTATTTAGGTATCTACCCGCGGATTCATTCGCCCTCGGTTTTGATTGCCATCATTAGGCAGAACGCCATTGATTCAGCTACGTGGTAGTGTTTGTTATACGTGGAAGTCGTCAGCCTCGACTGCTTGGGAGCGAAAAAAAATCCGAAAAATCAACCTAGCTGTGACTTGACCTGCATTTACATAGATAGACAGAGAACAGAGCAGGGAGGACCAATAGATCCGAACCGTGGGCGCCAAACCCAAACTAAAGGCGGTTAGATCGTGAATGACGTAGACCATCCGTCAAGTCAGATTTACAAGCAGGGGGGAGGTCGGAGATGCAGGCAGCAAGTGAGTATTTTAAGGACGTGACGAAAAGACGGGTTTCTAGAGAAACCCGAGAGGCATTGATAGACCGGACACAGATCATAATAATGTCTGACTCTAGAATACCTTAAATCCGTGTCCCTCCCGAGATAATCCGCGTCCATGTTTTGCCATCTCATTCTTGATAAGAAGCAAGACTAAAACCTATCCACTCGTACATGTACCAGTCTACAAGGTAGACAACCTACTCCGGCATTCACAAATGTCTATCTTCATGCCTTAGCCTTCGAATCAAGTATTGCTGCGTAGGGAAGAGCGATCTTTAATTCAACACGCGTAATTCAAAATGGCTGGCTTGCTATTCTGTTCACCACATATAGTTACTCCGATAAGGGACGACAAGACATACAGTCATCGCCCTACTTAATTCCAACTCTCGACAACAATAATCGTCTTTCACGCCATGTTGTTTTATTCTCCCACATACGCTCGGCATGCTAGAGCCGGATCCGCAAGCGTAGAGGAGCCTTCAGTCAGCGGCTCGAAGCGCCCTATTCAGCAACAAATCTACTTGGAGCGACTTGTCCGCGGCCGTGTCTATTCCTTTAGCCCCCTTTCCCTCCTCGTGTATTAGAGTAGTTGGCTCATGGAGTTTCCATCAGCGCCAACGTCCCTCCACTTATTACCACAGGCTGTTCGGGTGTCCAATCCTTCCTATGCAATGGTATTCGACATCCTTTGCATTTCTAGTCATATTCTCATATCGTCATATAATACGCTAACATCTCATTTGACCTTACTAATTCGCGACCCTTTGACGGGGGCCGGCAACACGGAGCAAAGACGATCCCGTTCTACTCATTTCGTTAGCTCGTTCAGACACGTCGCATCTTTAGGAGGCAATCCTTACCAAGACCATCATCAAAGAGAATAGTGAGATCATCGTGTTCTCCGGCAAAGTCAGGCATGTCCAGACACAAGAAAGCCATGTCATCCGTTTTAGAAGAACCATCGGCCGGAACCTTCGGAAGGGGGAATTTTGCATCCGCCAGCTTCAACCCAGCCTTCCCGCTCCGACTGAAACACTCAAAGACATCGGTACCCTTGAGGACAAACCCCATACATTGGCCGTGGTGCCAGTCTTCGAAGAAGGCGAGTAATTGAACCGTCTTCTCCTGCTGTACTACCTGGATGCGAGTCGTGCCAGACTCCCATTTCTTGTGGATTGGAACAACCATCATCCTTCGTGAGATATTGAGGCTAGTAGCCACCCCATCGAAAAGAACCGAATACCCGGTGAGCCCTAGTTGGAAGGCGTGTAAATCCTTGAAGCTAGGGAAGCGGTAAGTCCGCACTGTTGAGCTACGCTGAATGGAACTCTGGAGACTGGCAAATTCGCGGGGGGATTCTTTTGGTATCCCCGTTTCAAGAAGAGAAATCGTGATGTCGAGCTGCGGCTGTCGCAACACCTGTAGGGTGAGAATATCCTTGGTACCAAGTCTCAGCTTTAGCTCCCCGGGTGCAACGTTCACACGGTCTGTAATGGTGCTAACAATGCCAACGCCAGTCTTATCCACGGAGTCGATCTCGACCCTCAGCTTCTCTGCTAATACTGTCTGCGGGACTTCCCCAGCATATCTATCATTGATGATACGAGCCCGCTGCCATGGCAACCGCTGGGTTGCCGCAAAACCGCCCTTGATATCAGAAAGTCCTTCTGATATGCTCATACCTTCTAGTGGTACATCCGCTACGACCTCTTCATCGTGGTGAACATAGCTTCCACTGATCAATCTCAATATTTTCTCACGCTCCTGTTCATCTGTAAATGACATGACCATTCGACCACGATCCTTGCCGTTATTGAATTCCAGTTGGAGCAGCGGCGCTCGCTGTTCGCCACGTAACATGGCGAACTGCACGGGAAGTTGAGGCGTGAAAGTGTGGGAGACTCCGCTAAGTGTCCGGATTCTTGGTCCAGTAACGACAGCAAGTCGGAACCCACGATGAAAAGTCCGGGGTCCAGTCGGACTATTTTCTTTCAAAAAGCGTTCAAAAAGGGCTATTTGACACTGCCCAACGGCCTCCTTTGGAAATGCTCTGCCTTGGGGGTTCGCATCGAAGTAATGAAAGCCCTTGAGTGTCATGCTATGTGCAACCACTTCGTCCGGTCGTGGATAGAGATAACCCTGTACCTTGTTGCTAAAGTCGAAGATGCCCCATAAGACTTTGAAATCTTGTTGTGTACATTGAATTGCAAGTAGGAAGCCCCTTGGTAACTTGATTTCGATAGAGTAAGTATCCGGCCTCCATTTTACATTGTGCCAGCTTGGGCCGTTTTTCTTATCAGCCTGGATTCGTAGCGAGACACTTCCATTCTGGCTCGCCACGACAAAGTTGAGGTTGGATTCCTCGGGCGATCGAACGACAGAGAGCATGCAAGGGAAATAGGTTTGTGCAGACTCGATGCCCTGTTCCATGAGATACACGTCCACCGTTACTCTTGTATACATGAAAT